ATCCCAACTTGGCTATCCACAATGGAAGCAATGATCCATCCAAACAATTTAGATTTGAATAAAATGTTAAAATATAAAGACCTATTAGATAACCATGGAAAGTTAAAAACATTACAGGACCTCCAAGAACAAGGGCTACGAGTTGACTGGTGGGCTTACCTCCAATTACAAAACCGATATAAACAAGATATAAAAGATTATGGAATATATCTTAAACCATATCAACTAGAGAAAAACACTACTTTTATAGGTAGGGACATAGCCAAGCTTGGAAGAGTAGCATGAAGCTAAAAATCAAGTTGCTACACTCCAGTCCCCTATTAAAGTCTTTACAGCAGAGCAGGAAGTATGTGAGATCTGTTTCTTTGCTTAAGTTACATGCCACTTTGAAAGACAAACTGATGCTTTCTATCTTAGATTATTTCAAAAAACAAAATACTTTGGATACTGACATTTGTCTGGTTGAGTCCTAAGAACCTACCTTTCCCACAAATGCCTCCTAGAATGCATATGGGTCAATATAAAAGAAAATAATAATAATATTGCCATAGGTGTACACTACAGGCTACCCAACCAAGCAGAAAAAATAGGCATACTTTTTGCTAACCAATTAACAAATATATGTAGGAAACACACTACGATAGTAATAGGAGACTTCAATTACCCTGACATCAACTGGAAGACTAATTCTGCACCAAGTGAGAAATAGGTTTCTGACCAACCTAGCTGACAACTTTGTTATCCAAAAGGTAGAGGAGGGAAATTGAGGAACAGCCATACTGAACTTAATTCTCATGAACAGAAAAGAAGTGATAGAAGGAGTTGAAACTGTAGGAACCTTGGGTGAGAATGACCATCCCATACTGGAATTCAACATAATGCAAACATAAGCAATAGAACACAATGATACCAGAGTCTTAAATTCTAAAAGAGCTGATTTTAACAAACTCAGAGAGAACTTAGGAAAGACTCTTTGGATGAAAATCCTAAAGTTGAAAACAACTCAAAAGCTTGGGAAACTCTGAAAAGTATGACCATAAAAGCCCTGTCCAGCACAATACCACTGAAAAGAAAATCCAAGAAATTCAAGAAGAAGCCAGCCTGGTTGCACAAAAAACTTTCTGATAAACTGAAAGACAAAAAGGACAAGTAAAAAAAATGGAAAGAGGGACATATAAGTAAGGCAGAATATCAGCAGATAGCTAGAATCTGCAAAGACGAAATCAGAAAAGCTCAAAATGAAAAAGACTTGCAACAAAAGTGAAAGATAATTTTTAAAAATTTCTGTCAAAATATAAATGACAAGAAAAAAGTCAAGGAAACAGTCAGTCCACTAAAAAGAGAAGATTGCAAGGAAATAACAGGCAGCAGAGAGAAAGCAGAGTTCCTTAACTCATTCTTTGCATCAGTCTTCACAAATAAAGGAACTATAGCCCAACCTACCAAAAACATAATTGTAAAAGACAGATTAGAAATAAAAGTTAAAATAAGCAAAAAATTGGTAAGAGAACACCTGTCTCATCTTGATGAATATAAATCACCGGGACCTGATGGATTACATCCCAGAGTTCTAAGGAGCTGGCAGATGTCATCTCACAACCACTGTACCATATCTTTTAGAAACCCTGGAACACTGGGGATTGGAAAAGAGCTGATGTGGTTCCTACCTTCAAAAAAAAAAAGGGGGGGGGGAAACAGACCCAGGAAACCAATCAGCCTAACATCAATACGAGGGAACATACTGGAAAAAATAATTGAAAAAAGATCTGCGAACATTTGGAAACAAACTTTTAACTAAAAGCCAGCATGGGTTTTTTAAAAACTGATCATGCCAAACCAACCTTATTTCATACTTTGACAAAGTGACTAAATAAGCAGACCAGTGAAATGCTGTGTACATAATATACTTATACTTCAGCAAGGCATTTGACAAAGTAGAACACAACCTACTTCTTGGTAAGCTAGAAAAATATGGGATAGAAAGCATCATCATCAGATGGATTTGTAACTGGCTGACAAATTGTTCCTAACAAGTCATCCTTAATGGTACTACATCTATATGGAGGGAAGTAAGCCGTGGGGTACCACAAGATTCTGTCTTAGGCCCAGTTATCATTGAAGAGTACTTCATTATGAAGAGTATCTTCATAAATGACTTAGATAAGACAATAGAAGGGGAACTCATCAAATTTACAGATGATACCAGGTTGGCAGGAATAATCAACAGCCCTATAGCTCAGGATCCCAAAAGAACTTGACAGACTTGAACAATGGTCCCTATCCAACAAAATGAAATTTAATGTGAAGAAAAGCAAGGTTTTACACTTACACAGGGAAAACCAAAGGTACAAGTATAGTTTAGACAAAAACTGGCTCAAAAACAGTAACTGTAACAGTAACAGTAACTGAAATATGAGCCAGCAGTGTGCGGCAGTAGCCAAAAAAGATAATACAATCCTTGGTTGTATAAACAGAGGCATAGAATCAAAGGTTCATGAAATATTACCTTGTTTCCCTGAAAATAGGACCTATCCTGAAAATAAGCCCTAGTGAAAGGGGTTGGGCATGGCCAGCACAGGAGGTGGCAAGGATGTGTGGGCCAATGGCATCTAACATCAGCCACAGCCTGTGTAGCACAGGTGAGTTGATTCCCTGTCCAAGCAGCTGGCGGAGGCAGAGGCAGAGGGAGGCATGCAATTTGAACGTGCAGCGCGGGCTGTGGGAAAGTTGAGCGGCAGTGGGCTAGAGCGGCAGGCAGCTGTGGGAAGCTTGTCTTTGCATGGCAGCACTGGCAACAGACAGGCAGAAACGCAGGACTCAGGCAGGCGATCTGGATGCTCTGTGTGGGGTGTGGGAAAGCTGAGTGTCGGTGGGCTGGAGTGGGCAGCCAGCCAGAGGAGACTGGTCTTCACGTCTTTCTGCTTGCCTGCACCCATGGAGCGCATTGAGATCACCTGCCTTCAGTCTCGTGCCCCTGCCTCCATCTGCTGTCAGTGCCGCCACACAAAGATGACCCTCCCAAGGCTGGCTGCCCATTCCGGCCCATCAACTCTCAGCTTTCCCACAGCCTGCATGCTGCATCTGGACCACCTCCCTCCCTCCCACGCCTCTGCCTTCATCTGCTGCTTGGACAGGGAATCAACTCACCTGCACTGCGTGGGCTACATAACCCCAGAGTGTGTCAACCAAGGGACTGGTGGGCTGCAGCTGCTGCTGGATACTATTGGTTCCCATGCACCTGCTGCCTCTTGCAAAGCCTTACTGCATCCAGTTTTGGTCATTACAATACAAAAAAAATGTTGAGATTTCGGAAAAAATGCAAAGAGCAACTAAGGCCTGGAGACTAAAACATATGAAGAACGGTTGCAGTATTTGGGTTTCACTAGTCTAGAGAAAAGAAGGACTAGGGGGGGACATGATAGTAGTATTCTAGTATTTGAGAAGTTGCCACAAAGAGGAGGGGATCAACTTATTTTCCAAAGCATCGGAGAGCAGGACAAGAAACAATGGATGGAAACTAATCAAGGAGAAAAGCAACCTGGAATTAAGGAGTAACTTCCTAACAGTGAGGACAATTAACCAGTGAAACAGCTTGCCTTCATAAATTGTGAGTGCTTCATCACTGGAGAACTGGACAGTCACTTGTCTGAAATGATTTAGGGTCTCCTGCTTGAGCAGGGGATTGAACTAGAAGGCCTCCAAGGTCTCTTCCAGCTCTATTCTGATTGAAGCATGGTTTGTTGAATAATCACAATTTCCTGGGATCACACAACATGCTAAAGCAAAGCCAAACAAAGATCATTGTGGTTTTATGCTTTAATATCAATGTTTCTGTCTTGCAGTCTAATCTACAATAATATATCATATTTTCATAAATTTTAAAAATAATTTCAGGGTTTGTTGGAAGAAAGACAATATAAAATGTTTTATTTTTAAAAGGAAAAACTTAATATTTAGTTTTCAATATTGGTATATAGTAATGGTGCAGTTGGAAGCTGAGCACAGATAGGAATGAAGTCAAATACACAGCTAACAAGTGAGTTACAATGATGGTTGCTGTTATACAAGCTTAGTGCACTGTATTTATAATAATTCTAACAATTGATTGCTTTTCTCCCTTCCCTCCCCTCCCCCCTCTCTCTGTGTTATACATGTGTTGTATAAGTATATGTGTAAATATATACACACAGAATTTTAATTAAATGATTCAAAGCTCTGCTCCCTTATAATGCAAAATACTTAAGAACTAGTTTCTTTCTTTCTCCCACACTTATTTATATACAGGCTTACAAATCCTAGCAACTTTGCCCACCTGCTGTATCTGGAAATCTACTATTCTCTCTCCTTCTTACCCATTTTCTAGCCTAATGTTTGCTCTGTTCACAGTCTTCTGTTCTGTCATCTAACTTCTTTCTTTGCCTCCAACTGCCTCAATTTCAAAGCTGACTCATAACACACCTCCACTTGCAACTTGACAACAGAAACCAAGGGAGAGGGGAGGAGAATGTTGGAATCTATTGGGAGCTGGGAGGGAGATGATGAATTTATGTGAGCCATTTGCAGCCTGAGAAGATCCTGATATTTCAAGGGAGTGCAATGGGAATCTTCCAAAGGCACAGACTTCCCAAAATAAAAGCAACATGTTGGATTAGTGGACAATGGACAATAGGTGGCCCAAATGGGGAAAAGAGGAAATTAATTATGCTATTTTTCGCATGAAAACTCAGAGCTACCTTCACTTCTTCTGTGCCTGCATGGACCTATAAGTAAAATTATACTCTTGATAAAAAATATCCCAGGAGTTTCTTTTTCTGGATATGCCAATGGGACGGTTGACATTAAACTAGCTCTCCAATAGTAGCCTACTTGGACCCTACCAGGAGGCCAACAACCCCAAGATGTCAGCAGCCGATAAGGAATCAGAGGAGAAAAAAACGCTTGGAGAATTCCTGGCCTGAGAGGCTCCACAATGCTGCAAGCCAGAGCAGGGGAACAACTGGCTAGCACATGTCCCAAACAGAAGGATGAGAAACTTGAGCAGCAGCCGATGAGTATGAGAGAGCAGGCGAGTGATGCCCCATACCAGGTTCCAAGACCTGGTGGGGGATGAACATGGGCAAGACAGCAGAAGCCAAAGACCCTTTGGTCTCCTTGGAAGTCAATGTGATCCAAAGTAGCAAGTGGAGAGTGAAATGGACAATGGAGTGGGACAAGCCTGCTGAATAGAAGCTCCCAATCGTCACGTGAAGCCCATCAATGGAGTAGCTGAGGGAGAAGTTTGGTGGCTTGAAGATCTGGGCAGCCAGGTCACTCAGGACTGCAGTGGCAGTAACCGGAATGGGAAGTGTGAAGTTCCTAGCAGTTGTGTCAAGCCCATTGCCCCTTCTCCTGCAGCCAACAGTGCCCAACCTGACTGGTGCAGCTGGGACTCTGGAGCAGGAGGCAATAACAGCTGGATCCACTACCCTACCCCTGACGGAGCAGTGAGCGGTCCTGGTGGCTCCAGCAGCAGCCTGAGAAGATCCTGATATTTCAAGGGAGTGTGATGGGAACCTCCTGAAGGCACAGACTTCTCAAAATAAAAAAACCCTGCTGGATTGGAGGACAATGGACAATGGGTGGTCCAAATGGGGAAAAGGGGAATTAACTATGCCAATTTTCACACAAAGACCTCAGCTCTAGGTTCGCTTCTTCTGTGCCATCATAAATTGTATGGATCTATCAGTAAAATTATACTCATTTATAAAAAATGTCCCAGGAGTTTCTTTTGTTGCATATGCGAACAGGATGGATGACACTCAGGCTTCTTCTTGTCTCCTCTTCTCTTGGCCATGGGTCATTTGGTTCCTGGCTTTCTCCACTGCTATTTCCTTGCTCCATGATACAGCAGCTTCTCCTGCCAAACTTCTCCCTTCTTTTTTCCACTTCCTCTGGCTTCTTTGAGAACCTAAGTGCCAACTTGCAGATGACCCTAAGGACTTCAAACATGTTTTCCCTTTTTTCTGTCACTGCCTAGGTGTCTAAACTAGTCACATGATGGTCAAACCGCCAAAGAGGAAAAAATTGACCTTGACAGTTGCACCTAACATTGTAATTCTTTTCCTTTCAAGGCAGTTCCCAGAGGGCAAAAATACTGCTGTGAATTTTTTACAAATTTATTTTATACTGAGTCTGATTACATACAATAGCCATCACAAGTCAATTGCTATGCTTGACTAATCACAAGTGTCCATAATAAATCAGAAAACTTTATATCTGTAAAATATTTAGAGAATACAATAGTCCTTTGTCTGATAAATATAAATAGAAAGGAATTGGCATTTAAAATAATTTATTTTCACATTTAATTTCACATATCTTCTGCTCAACCGTCTGGAATAAATTCTCTCTACTGGAATGACTGATTTTAAAAGTGTCTTTTGCCAGTAATGTACAATTAGATATATAGGGTATGTACAGACCTATTTTTGTGAGATTTCTTATTCTGCTAAGCATTCCATCCTTTGAGTTTTTTCACCAATACTATTTATTCCAATATAGATGTCCAGTAAGCAGACCCTTTGTAGGCTGGTTCAGTCTTGTGCATCTCCAGATATTGATATGGCAAAACTCTATCTGAAACCCTACCGTCCATGTTTAAACTAGCATAGATTGATCTTTCTCACCATGACCATCTTGTGATTCTTCACGAGCTATTCTGAGCATGATTTCTGTCGTTTATAGTTCTAACACAGTTAGAAGACACTAGCTGGGGAAATAGTGTATATAATATAGTGGTATGCAGACAGAAGGGCCAGCAATAGATATCTTCCTAAGGAATAATTTTCAGCACCTAATCAATGATAGTCATTGGTCAGATTGCAGATACTGTATGGGCTGCAAAATCTAGATCATTCCTAGAAGGCAGAAAAGAAGCATAAAAACCTAATTCCGTAGTCATTGGTATTTCTATTATCTAGATCTATTAATCCGGATCAAAGAAATATTGATGTCCATTTGCCCTTGAACTGATCTATTTCTGTCAGGTCTCCTAGGTAAAGCAAACAGGAAACACAACTAGAAGAGCTGGTTCTACTTTATTGTAAGGCTACATTAACAGAATATTGCAAGTCTGAAGGTACAAATATCCCATTACTACTTTTAACCACCCAGTTAATTAGGGTGGGTCTTTCCTAAGTTTCTTCCTTTGACCATTAAGCCCACTGGGGCTCCTCCCTCTCCTGTCTGATTGTTTCTTAGGCAATATCTCTTCCCCATGCCTCCCAAGGCCATCCTCTCATACTATTACAAATTCACACCATGCAGTTCTCTTGTCATAATTCCTGAAATTTCCAACCCCTGGCCATGCTGGCTGCATTGTCCCTTGCTGCCTAGCAAAGCCAAGAAAGAGAAACAAAAAGGATTCTAAGAATACTTTATATTGTTCTAGGGGAGAATGACAGAATTTTAAAGGCCTGTCAGAATTTCTCTGTTCTTATACCAAACAAAATTAAAACAAGCTATTTTTTTTTCTCAAGACTGAGTAGTCTTTCTGATCTCTTAATGACACATTGATCCTTCTCCAAGGCTAGATTTACAGGCAGCATCAAAATCGAAGGCAATTTTCTATAACTTTTTAACATCCATCCACCGATCTATCAATCTATTTAATCAATCAACATTTTATGGCCACCAGCTTTATGCAGTGGTAGGCTGCAAGTTTTTTAACAACCAGTTCTCTGCCCTAATAACTGGCTGGGTGGGCATGGCTAACTTGATGTCACTTACATTGAGGGGCGCTTCACCTCACCTGCCCTGCCATGACTGTGGGGAAGCTGCAACAATCATAAGCATGAAAAATGGTCATGTCACTTTTTTCAGTGCCCTTGCCCTTGTAACTTCAAATAGTCACTAAATGACTGAACGGTCACCACTAAATGAACGGTTGTAAATCAAAGATTACCTGTACAAAAATACAAAAAGCTTCTTTGCTTGCAAAAAGCTGCTTTAAATACCAGTCATTAGATTAGAAATGGGTTAGGGTTAGGGTCATAAAATGAAACTCTTTAGCAGAGAAGTCATTTAAGCTCTCCAGAAAGTGGGTGGGCATATTTGGGCTACATAATGCCAAGCTAAAGAGACAAATTAACAAATTAACATGAGGGCTAATCCCAGTCTGCCTTTGTTCAGTCCTTGCTGCAGGGAATTTTTGCCTATGAATATAGCTATCTATTTCTTTATCTCTTAAGTGCTGGCATCTTCTTTGGTCTATTAAAGAAGCTGGGGGCTGCTTTCTCCCTCTAAGAAAACATGTTTCTCCATTTCTCATTCAGGGAAATATATTCTTCCCTTTTAATATTTCTCAAAATATTTCATTCTTCTAGGAGAGGGGTGGATGCTAACTTTCTACAATTGGTGCCATGTTACTATGCTAAATTGGAAGGAGGATCCATTTATTATCAGTGAGCAATCATGTGCCTTGCCCACTCTGAAGCAATGCAAGAGACTCCTGTCCCAAAGGTGTTTTTTCAAGAAGCAACTGGACTTTCTGGAAACCAAGAAAGTCCGGTTGCCTCTTGAAAAAAAGCATCTTTGGGACAACCTTGACCTGAATGACTGAAGAATCCCCATAGACAAGAGACTCCTGTGCTCAGTGAACTGAAAAAGCACAGTTTCCTATCCAGAAGAAGTAATCATTAGATTCATTTGCACCACTTAAGAATACCAGCTGGTCTCACTCACCTCACAAGATATCCTTAGCTAATCATCCAGATTTAAGGAAAGATCACATGCCCCTAGAAAGGCAGTAAAAAAATCAGACAGAATGCCAAGCTTGCATCCTGCCTCTCAGCCATTTCTTCTATGGCTTCTGTAAATAGCTGTTCCAGCTGTGTTGGAAGTATACTTTAAATAAAAAGTAAAAAAGTAAAAATCTTTAAGAAAGTGAAGTCCCAGGAATAAAAGTACCACAAAAAACTCCGGGGGGAGAGGTGTTAGGGACTCCAGAGAAGCTCAGTGTACAGACAGAAAGTCTGGGCATAAGGCTTACAATGTAACACGCTTAACCCAGAGGCAGTTTCTGAAAACACTTAAAGCAGCAGAGCAATTAAGGATTAGGGTAAAAATATAGAATGTTTCTTTCCTGCCTCCCTTGCAGGATTAGCCCTGTAATGTGGGAAAAGATTTCTTCCAACAACCGGTTCCCGGAACTGCTCAGAAAATTAACATCTGGTTCAGGAGAACCTGTGCGAACCGGTAGCAGCCCACCTCTGGCTTTATGCTGTTTAGTGGAAAGCATATTGTCAGCCTCTGCTCTTTCATTGCTTACTTGCTCGGCTGCCATGAAACGGGGGCGGGGGGAGCTACTGGAATTCTTGGGAGGGGGGAAGCGAGCTGGAGGAAAATGAAAGTAAAACTTTGCTGCGGCGTTTTCTTTGAAGCTGATAACATCTCAAGATCAATGGCCGTGGCATAGCAAGAGGATGACGCTGCCAGATGTTTGCTCCCACATGACCCCTGGAGAACCTGTGGATTGGATGATTTATGCTGGACAGTTGGAGGGAGATGCTTTCTATATGTGATTTTTGCGCCTTTGCTTCAGACCCTGCTTTTCTTTGACTGCATTCAGTTCTTATCCAGTAAAAGTTACCTTTCTCTATGAAAATGGAGTCGGGGTTTTTCTTTCTTGGATAATGAAAGGAGGCCGTCCTGACACATATACAGGTAGTCTTCAATTTATGACCACAACTGAGTCTGGAATTTCAGTCATAATTCATAAATTGAGGCACCACAGGACCAGACTCAATTTTATAATCATTCTTTCAATGGTTAAATGAGTCACTGCAGTTGTTAAGCAAACCATTTGATCATTAAGTGAACCATGGGGTTGTAAGTGCAAATCCATTTTATCCGATGGGCATTTTTGCTATTTTTGCTAGAAAATGGCAAAAAAGTCACAAAATGTGACCATAGAATGCTGCAACCAGTCATAAATGGAAACTGGTTGCCAAGAACCCAAAATGTGATCACGCGATCATCACTGTATAAATAAGCAACATTGTGAACATTTATTTCTCTCAGCCATTGAAGAATTCATTTTTATAAAGAACATTGTTGTTTGCTTGTTTCTTAAGACTTGGCTAATGTACCTTCCGGTTTGGCGCCACGGTGAGACAGTCGGGGAAAGAGCAGGCTCTGATGAGCGCCACGAAAACCCTGGCTGCCAAACCACTGTCAATGGGTCTTCAAACCGGAACCGTCCTGCAGGGATGGGGAAGAAAGAGGGGTGCCTCGGACGACCAAGAGGAATAGGAAAGTTCCTCGGAGGTCAGAGGGAACTTTCTGTGAGTTGGCGGCGGGGGGTGGCAGCCATGGCGGCTGCCACGAAGCTGGGACAACCGGGCTAAGTATAGAGCTGGAGAGAAGAAAGAAATGGAATGGAATATTTTTGAAGCCGGATGAGTGACAGCCAACTCAGGCTTGAATAACAACAAGAGAAACATCTTACAACTATAAGACCTCTAATGGGTAATAGCGGCTAAGAAC